AATTTAGCGGGTAGTTACTCATTCATTTATAGTTGGCTCCGGCGAGCTCACGTAATATTTGGGGATTATAACATAGTAAAATGGAAATTTAGAGAGAAAATTCCATTTTCATTTCTTTACTTCGCTGCCTTCAACTTACAAACAGAAACAACGATTCAAACCCTTCGGTAAATATTAAAATATAATTCAAACTCCTCTAATTTTACTTAATTCTACTCTAGTCTTCAGGTCATGACATTATTTCTTTGCAAAAAGCCCAAAATAAATATTTATATAAAGCTCTTTCGCTAGAATTTCGTACTGATACCGTATTATGAAATAAATATAAACTACAGAAGAACTATGAACGAGAGAAATAAAGGATTCAGATGCATCTTATTTAATAGAGACTGATCTCTATTTATAGCCAAATAGATATAGAGATAAGATCAACGAATGTGCGTTCTAACTAAATATTATCTTTATACATTGAATTCTAATATAACTCTTCTATCTTGTGGATATTCACATTATTAATATATTCATAACAATTTTAGATTTATCTTTTTTTTAAAAAAAAAAAGCGAACTACCTTTTTTTCCAAGTTTTGGCCCGATATATCATAAACCCCCTAGATTTTTTTGTAAGACTACTATGTACCCCTTGAGTAAGGTCAAAACACTGAAATGACTAAAATGACATTTGCTTATATGCACTTCATTTCCTTTTCTTCTTTTTTTTTTCATATGTTTTTCTTCATTTTTTGACTATTAAAATAGAAATTACTTAGTCTATCATGTTCACGTTTAATTATAACATAATTTAATCAATGAAAGTTAATATATGATTAATAATATAAGTTTGTTATGCTTAAAAAATAAGTCAACTAATGAAGATTATTTATTTCAAAAAAATTAATATAGTTATTTTAAAATTTATTATTTGAGCACGTTAATATAAAAAAAAATTGATATGGATTACTTTTTAAATTTAATTTTACGATATAATTTTAAAAATATTTAACTAGTATAATTTTAAAAAAAGGGATTGAAGGGTATTTTCTTTCTATCATTTACACAGAATTGATGATAATGGTAGTATGTTAAAGGAGTATTTAGAAGATTGGCTATGATTTTAGGGGATATATTGTAATATTGCCAAAGTTCGGAAAGTTTATGATAGATTGGACCAAAATTCCGAGGGCAAAATGTCGTCGGCTCAGGAAAAAAAAAAAAAAAAGATTTATCTTCCAGAAAAGTTCATTTTCTTATAAGAACCTGATTCCTATATCCTTTAGGGATTGTTTGTACTATTACGTTTACATGGTTTTTTACGTGTATTTTCCTACAACTCTGAAAAAAAAAAAAACCAAGGATATGTTTGATATGTATTTTATCAATGACCTTTTCACTTAACTAAGTTCATCATCAAAGTCAAATGTACTCCATTTCATTGCTAGTGCTTGACTCATGTACTCTTTTTTTTTTTTTTTGTCTTAATTTCATATGCTTCAATCATAGTCTATTTCACCTTCATGTGTTCCAATACATATATGTGTCATTACTCGTCCATGTTCATTCTGCCTCTGTTTAGCAGAGATCAGCACATTCTTCCGAAACTTCTTTTTAACCTCTGCTGGAAGAAGGAAAAACTGGGTATCATGAGGTTTCCAAATATAATTCCCCGTTCTTTATTTAATTTGTCTTTCCATTTGTGCTTGGTGCAGAATATAGTATTAACCAAATCACCAGTGACCAGGCTGCCCTTCTTGCATCAAACAAGAAATCGTTGCGGACCCCGAAAATGTTCTTGAGTTCTGGAATTCTTCTGATCCTCATGTAACTATTTTGGAATTGCTGCCAAAAAAATGAGTGGGAAAATTGTAGTCGTAACCATTTGATCTAAGTCAGTATTCTCTTAGAGGAACCATTTCACCGTCTCTTTCAAAGCTTTATGTCTTGGAATTGGGATTCTTGATTTTGTCACAAAACGATTTTAAGGGTTAATCACATATATTTCTCCGGAGCTTGGTTCATATATTGTCACAACTGAAAGGATCATTTTACCTTCGATTTTCTAACAGGAAACATTAATTCCATCTCAATTATAGTTTCATATTTATTGTCTTTTTCTAATTATTATAATAAAATATTTTTAAAGTCTTTTTTCTCCATCAGAAACACGAAGTACTAGAAACTTACAAAATAAAATGTCTTATAATAAGAACCAGAGAGAGCATATCGCGAGAACGAGAACAAGAGCTAGCCTCGATTAATTTTTCGCAATTCGGGGCATGAAGATCATATTCGGGATCCAACGCATTTTCATCAAGATCGATCGGTACTCTGTCATGACGACACAATTAGGGCATTCGTTGGGGCACAATCTATAAAAACCTGGACCAGGTAAACACCATTTTCCACATTTTACGTAAGCGCTTAGAGGAGGTAGATCAGGGGAGTAGTAAGCAAGGGGATTCCGTGGAGGAGGTGGTGGAGCCGGAGAGACGCCTGTCGGACGAGGTGATTTCCATGTTTCTTCTTGATGATTCCACTTCAATCACAATTTCTGCTCCACCCGGAAACCAAGTAAACCCAGAGACACACATCTCGAATTTATGAAGAAAAGGTGGAAAATTGTACTTCCTCTTTGTTCCATAATGATTATTTTCGTATTTTAATTTTCAGTTTTATTATAATTTAAACTAAAAATTAAATTTTACGTAAGACAATCATTTCATGACGAAGGAAGCATGAGTTATGGGAGTTCTAATTCGTGATTGTTTCGCGAAGTTAATCCAAATACGGCGTGCATTCAAAATTCATGTGTGCGTTAGTATGGAGTAATTAATTTCGTATTGTTCTCTGTCTCAGTGAACGTCATATTTGTTAAACTATTGTTTTAACCTAAAGAAACTTGAAAAATGGCACTAAAAGTGACAGATAACAATAAAACTGAAAGCGGCTGGGGGTGATGGTAGAGTAAGATGTGTTACTTACATATTACTGCCAGAATCATACTCAGGAGGTAGCAGCTAGCAAATTTTGCCATTGAACATTGATTTCACTGACAAACTTGTTATCGACTCCCACAAAATGTTTCTGTTTCGTAGTATTATGAGGGGGGGGGGGGGTTGGGGGTGGTTTGGGGCGGGGAGGTTGTTTCCTTTTCAGGTAATTAATTTGTACTTGTTGAGTGAGATAGAGTATGATTTTATTTGATTTTTGTTTTTACTACCACGTCAAAATCGAACTATATATGAAATTGAAAGATCATCAAATTAGTTTATCAAAAAAGAAAAAAGAAGAACGATTATCAAATTAAATCTAATTCTAAAACTAACTAGTATAAACTCTTTTTCTTTCCTTTTTTTTTTTTTTTATATTACAGTGTATTCATCGTCGACAATAATGACTAATTTCCCTCACTCAAAGTAGGCACTTTAATGGTGAGCGAGTTGACCATAAGATTTAAAATTACTTTAAACTCACAATGAGATTCGAACTCTCAACTTTAGTTAAGAATGGAGAAGTTATTATCACTCGGACACAACTCAGTTGATTACAGATAAATTTAAATAGTAAAAAAATAAAAATAAAAATCATTCAGGTCCAGATTACTGGTTTGCCGAACATGCATGTTTTATAGTCGAACAGGTTTGCCGAACAAGTGGTCCATGTGATAAAAACTTCAAAATCAATAAATGGCGACAAAAAAATAATTAATATCGCATAGTTGATGCCAAATTGAAACATATTTCCTTTACTCCTAATTATAAGGTACAAATTTGAATTAATTATAGTGTTCCGTTGTGTCTTATAATTGACATAAGAAATAAGTCCTAAATATTATTCATGTCCTAAACATAGCGATACAGAAAATCATTTTTCGATAATTAGTTGTTAAATCACATATTATCATATCAATTATTAAAACACTTGTTTTGTGTCGTAAAAGTATTTAATTAACAAACATTTGAACTTGGGCATGCAATAATGTTAAAAATATCTGTAAAAGTTATCTCTACAGAAAATACTGATAGCGGATCGAGAATGAAATTGCAAAGATGAATACAAAAGAAAAATGAAAGATCCATGATTTTGCTAAAATAAAAGAGCTAGATTAGACAACAATTTAGAACAAAAGGAATTTTTGTTGGATAGTAAATATTAAAATCTATATTCAACCCGAGAAAAACGCACACGCATAGTGCACCAAATTGTATTATTTGAATGAAATATAGGAGTGAAAATTAAAAAGATGCATTTCAGTGGGCCAAAGCCCAAAAATTGTCTTGCTTTTTTTCTTTTTTCCCTTTTTTTTTTTTCTGTAATCAGGACAATAATACATCGACCTCTATGGCATTACAATGCTTGGGGGTAAGAGATACCCAAAATGTTATAGTTAAATCACCAACAGACTCATGGTAGAGGCAAATCCGGTCGGACTAGGCCCGCTGAATTTGCAGCCGTCAGTGTAGTCAAATAATCCGCCACAAAATTACATTCCTTATGAACATGATTTAACTTAACTTCTCAATTTCCTGTCTAAAAGCTTCCTAATTGCTTTTAACGGACCTTTCGTGCGCACACTGGTTTGCTTATTTTAGTTGGTTATATTATAGAACTTTCTCAAAAACTCTTCACAGGCCTTTCATCCGACTTATTTAAATAGTCGATTTTGTTTGTTTTCATTTGAAAAAAAAAATTATTAAAATGAGAGGGAAAATTTTCATTTGATAAAAAGTTAACTATTCAAATGGGAGGGAAGAATATGAACAACACTTTAGATTGTTGGAATGTGAATATGTAAAATGGTTGATGGCTTAAAAGTTGTTTGGAAATACTATAGCAAAGTGTTAATATTTTTAATATATTATCCACCCGATGTCTAAAAGTATATTGTTATGATTAATTAGGATTCGAGAAAAAAAATCCTTTTTGAGAGGCAAAATTTCTCTAACATATATTTAATCACTGTTGCACTTGATCCAAGTGTTTACAAACCAATTTCATATAAATTGAGGGTACCCATTGTTCAATGTTATCGTTACGTAAACATATATATTCTGATTCTGAACCAGTGACAGAACGAGAATTTTCAAATCGCGTGATCAAAAATAGGATTATTCAACCGTCACTGGAGGGTCGAACTGAAAAAATTTCAAATAACAGACACTCTACTAAGAAAAAATTTGGCCAAATCCAGCCAGCCAGAGGGTCGATCGACCACCCTGACCCCGCTTGAATCCGTCACTGATCTGAACACAAAAGACTGAGTGTTAAGTAAAAAAAATGAAGCCATCAAAGCTTTAGCAAACCACATTTTTTGTGTCAAGCTTCCGAATATGAGTATTGTCGCCATCTTAAAGACATAAAAAAAAAAACACACATAATTCATTCCAAATATGGTTTACAATCCATATACATTATTTTCTTTAAAATAAGTGGGCTGTTTATTAATTAATAGAGCGTGATTGCTACACAAATTGTAACATAAACAAGTTCCTGGGCCTCCGTTTATAGCTTACCAATGCATAGAGGCAACTAGGAGAAGATCACTTTTCCTTGGTGATGTTAATCCGTAGGATTCTTCCATGTCTAAACTCGTACCGCTACTACCATTTGGGAGTTCCCAGTCAAAGTGATATAAGAGATTAGCTAATAAAACCTCAATATTAGCTAAAGCAAAGGACATTCCAGGACACATTTTTTTCCCGCCACCAAATGGTAAAAACTCATAATGGATCACTCCAAAGTCAATAGAGTGTTTCTCAAACCGCTCTGGTATGAAACTTTCCGGGTTTTCCCAATACTTGGGATCCCTTCCGATTGCCCAAACGTTAACCATAGCTCTTGTGTTAGGAGGTATGATATATCCATCGATTTCGCACTGCGTTGTGTTGATCCTAGGCATCAATAGTGGAGCAGGAGGATGAAGTCTGAGAGTTTCTTTGATTATTAATTTCAAATAACTCAAGTTTTGAATATCAGATTCTTGAATTAATGAATCTTTCCCAATGATCAATTCTTTTCTTACTTCACCTTGTGCCTTTGCTAACACATTTGGATTTTTTATCATCTCTGCCATCGCCCATTCTACTGTGGAGGAAGAACTTTCAATTCCTCCCAAAAACATGTCCTGCACAATAGTTTATCATTTTAGATTAGAAAAAAGCCATATCTTTTAATTTTCATGGTAGTTTATCATTTAATCTCTTCAAAAGTTATTGTCAGATAAAATTTTATGAGATCACTTTTTGAAATTGAACAACTTACCAGTACCACAGCTTTGATATTTGTGTTGGTAATTGGAAAAGGAAGGTCACCACTTTCTTTAATTCTCAGAAGAACATCAACCAGATCTTCATGGTAGAACTGATCACCATCATTTCCAGTTTTCAATCTGTCCTGTTTTTCGACATGTTCATCGATGATGGTGTTCAAAATTCCATCAATTTTGTGGTGCAAATCATGCAACTTGGGCTTCATGAAGCTTAAGTAGTGAATGAATTTCCAAGATGGAAAAAGATCAGAAACATCAAACCCGCTCATCCGGGATAGAACTTCCGTCACCAGCTTCACCAGGGCATCTCGACGCTGATCGGATACTTTACCGAGCGCAGCTCTTTGAAGCATCGAACAAGTGTATGAGTAAACTTTTCTGGTGAAGTTTGTGCCCTGTTTCGAATGCCGGGCTTCATCCCGAATCGATGAAATGAGTAGCGAAACCTCGTCATCGCGAATCGCATTAAGCGACCGAACTCTTTTGGTGCTGAGAAGTTCCATCAGGCATATCTTCCGCATTTGTCTCCAGTATTCACCGTACGGAGAAAATGCAATGTCCGAACAGTTGTACAATATGATCTGCCCTGTCAGCAACTCTGGCCTGTTTGCAAATGCTAGATCATGAGTTTTCATCATTGCTTTTGCCATCTGAGGAGACGATAACACGATGGTTGAGATTTCTCCGAGCTGAAGGTGCATCAGGTCTCCATGTTTTCGGGCTAAATCCCTGAGAACATGATGAGGCAATACTGATGAACTCATCAGGTGATGCAAGTTGCCTATGATGGGTAGTTTTCTTGGCCCTGGTGGAAGCATTTCGATTGCTTTGGAGCCTTTCTTACATTTCTCGATGATTTTCAGAGTGAAAATCACAGCTAAAAGGAACAAAGGAATCAAAGTTATTGGGAAGAACATTTTCATTAAACTCTTTGGTAACTCACTAGTTTGCTTTTGGTTTGAGGGGATAGAGAAGCATAGGCTGTGAGATTTTTATACTCAATTTTGGTTTGGTTTGGTTTGGTTTGATTAAGCATGATTCGGTACTCCTGTCGTCCACAAATTTGAGTGAGAGTTTAAGAAAATTTGTCAGACATATTAATCACCCATTAGGAAAATACCCAATTCCTATCAAATATCTGTCAATAATTATATATCAATTCCGGATGGTTAGGTCATTTGCTTTCCTGAATTGCTCCGCTGTTGGGTTCTTGATATGAAACTCTTCTTGTTCGGTGTTTGTCTTATCTGGCTGCTTCACAAAGTCACCTATGCCAACTGAACCACATATCATCTGTATAACTGACCTTACACAGTGAGATAAATAATTATTATTGTATCTTGATCATATTGTACTACGAAATAAGAGCGTAATCCTCAAATTTTTATGGAGCAGGATTAATGTATGGAGCAATATCAATTAGATGAAAAGTGACACCTCAAATTCATGGACATAAATCTTTTCATATATTCATGACTTGACTGTTTGAAGAAGAATTGTAGTTGTTGGGGGTGAAACATATGTTTAGACATTTTTACAATACCTAAGTAAAATTTTTTTGAACTTACTGTTTCAACAATTTGCCATGAAGATACTTAGAGTCTAAGAGTTCTCTATTTTCCACCTCAATTTAGAGAAAATGTGTTAATGACACCTTCTTAAATTTTCATATTCTCCAAAAGAACCTTTTTTTTTTTTTTAATGAAAAGTACATAAGAAACTGTGACATAAAGAAACAGAGAAAAAAGCTTAAGAAAAGAATAATCAATTAATTAATTTGAAAATGAGAAAAAAAAACACAATTTGTGTCATATAAATGTGCTTTTTGTACTGTAATTTTCATTTTGGTAAAAATAAATAAAAAAACGAAATATCTGCGGGTCACAGTCAAGCAGCAGTAGCATTTGGAGGGAGAAGGTTTTAGAGAGGTTTACACTTCTACACACACAGAGGCTTTTGTTGTTTTTTCTCATTCTTTCTTCCTTTCCTTATCTTCTTCTTCTCCGCTGTTTTCTTCACATCCGCCATTGAAATTTAGCTCTCTTTGCTTCCATGGCTCTTGTCTCCCCTAGCTCAATAGCCCAGATAAATACACCATGGGGGAATTCGAAATCCCCTAAAAAACACAACTTTTTCTTCATTTCATCCACTGACCCTCCAAAGTTCTTGCATAATCCCACCCTTTTTCCTTCCTCTTTCCCTCATGCCCTTAAACTCCCTTCCCTCTACACTCCCATTCCCCTCCATTTACACCCTTTATCTGACTCCACCGACGATAATTTCACCGAAAACCTTCAAGAGTTGGGCAATTTGCAGACTATCCCAAAAGGGATTTCTCAGGTTTTGACTAAGGAGTCGAAGGATAGAGTTTTTATTCGGGACCCGCCATGGATATCGGCGCTTTTCATGAAGAATTTTTATTATAGGTCGAAGATTAAAGAAGGGTTCAGATTGGAATATCAAGAGATTGAGAGGAGGAAGTATAATTTGCTGCGGAAAAGGCAGATTGAAGCTGAAACTAAAGCTTGGCAGAAGATGGTGGAAGAGTATAAGGAACTGGAAAGGGAAATGTGCGAGAAGAAATTGGCTCCCAATTTGCCTTATATGAAGAAATTGTTTTTGGGTTGGTTTGAGCCATTGAAAAACGCCATTGAGAAGGAACAAAAGGCTAAGGTGACTAAGAAGAAGTCTGCATTTGCCCCATATATTGATTGCTTGCCAGCTGATAAAATGGCAGTTATTGTGATGCATAGAATAATGGGGTTGTTAATGATGGGGGAAAAAGATGATAGGTGTGTTCGAGTTGTTGAAGCTGCAGCCCAGATTGGGATCGCAATTGAGCAAGAAGTGAGTACTCTATTTATTCATTTGCTGCATTCTTTTTGTAGTTATGCAAAGATGCAAAATTTAGGTGATTCACCACTAAGGTCAGGAATACTATAATAATTTGTTTTAGAAAAGGGAAATACAGTAATCAAACCAGTGAATTTCTAAGATGTAGGTTCTGATTCTTGTTTATTCACTGGGTTGGTAGAAGTCATCTTAAGTTACTAGTGAAGTTATACTTGTCTTAGCCTAGCTAAGATATTCAGGAAGCCTTGGAGCTTGCCATGTTTAGAAGCTTTATATGAATTAATATCACCAGGTAATTTTGCCAGAGTTGCAAGAGAAAGACCATAAAAAAAGAACTTTTAAGTATTTCAGATAAGCATGTAAGATTTTTTCTAGTATTTATTTATCTATATCCCTTTTGTTTATGCTTCTTATTATAATCTTTTCTTTGAGGATGTGCATCTTGCTGCCTTCTTGTATTTCTCTGTTTTGTAACAATGTTTCCTTAGTTTCATGGTTAAACATCAGTTTCATCTAGGTTTCCTCTTCATTGTATTGACTAGATCTTTGTTCCTTACATTGGTTTTGGTTCTCTTTTCTCTCCCGAATTTGGTCTTCATTCTTTAGTGATCAAATTTTTCTTGGACACTACAGCAGTTGGTCTGCAATGATATGGGATGCATATTGTTTTTGCTAGCATGAAATCTGGTTGTAGGTTGTACCTGTTTTATTTTCGGAAGAATTTCACAATATACATTAAACTTTAACTCCTTGAAAATTTACTTATTTACCTGTATGCGTGCCTCTGTCTGCTTGCCTCTTATTTTCCCCTTATGTTTGTTACATCGAAGCTGAACCATTTTGGGGTTTTTATGTGGTCTTGTCAGCAGAATTAAAAGTTCTTCATCCCTTGGCGAATTTTGTCTTACATGTCCCTTCTGTGATTGCAAATATTTAAAACACTGTTCTGAATTATTTCTCCTAAATAACAATAATTCTACCTATCTTTTGTGGAAAAGCATGCCTATCGAGCTATGGTTTAGTTTCATTTATTTTGTAGCATTCTCCTTGCCCATGCCAAATTCTTTGTTAGCCTTGTGATCAGTCTGATTCGAGCATTTTGTTTTCTCATTGTAGCTATCTGCTGTGTATATGTGTTTTTTTTTTCTAAGCTTAAAAGTTGGTTGGATTTTGTTAGTAGAGTGAAGTTTTGGGAATATACTGGGTATGTTGACGTCGTTGTTGTACTGGAGGTTTGGCCAAAAACTTTTTTAGTCTTAGGATCTTGTGCTTTTTGAATGTTACAAGATCTAACATATTTTCCATTAATGTAAAGTCCAACTATATGATGGCTCAGCGCCTAATGAGCTTAGGAAATTGTCTAATTTTGTGGCTACATAAGTCGGTCTTTTGTATTTGTGGATCAAGCGAATGATGATATATCTTTGAGAGATTTGTGATGTATGTTGTAATTCTTTACGCCGAAACAGATCCTACCTCCTTTAAGCTTACTTATTGTGAATCTTAATACTTGCTGAAGTAATCCAAACACCTAAACAGTTCTCTTTACAAATGAATTGTCCATTGATGTGCTCGTTGAAAATTTCAGGTTAGGATTCAGAGTTTCTTGGATAGAACAAAAAAGTCTCAGAGAAAGTTAACTTCTGCTGATAATGAAGAACAGATGAGTACTGAGACAATACTACTCAGAAAACGTGTGAAGAGTTTGTTAAAAAGGAATAGGATTTCTGAGGCACAAAAGCTCGTGAAAAGTGATAAATTCAAACCTTGGGGCAGAGATATACAAGCCAAGGTGTGGTATTATGCTGTTTTATGATTCTACTTGTTTTCAATCTGACTCATTGTGTTTATCTGCCATTCTATGGTTTCCAATCATGCCCATTTCTTAAATTTATGCAGCTGGGATGTCGACTTATAGAACTTCTAATAGAAACAGCTTATGTGCAACCTCCAGTTAGTGAGACCAGTGACAGTCCGCCGGATTTTAGACCAGCATTTAGGCATACCATGAAAATTTCAGCTAAAGACTATGGGTAAAATTTCACCTTCTTTTTAGCTTTATTTTAATGGGAAAAAGAAATCTCTGTTGACATGGAAATCTGTTGATTGTGCAGCTCATTCAGTACAAACATCTTTATGTCATTACTTTTATGTCTAAAATTTCATTATGTTCTTGGAGATTGATGGCAAAGGATGTGCCAATTAATCAATCCCGAGACATGACCATCCATAATAATCTTTTCCATTCTTCTGATAGCAGTAGCACTAACTTCATTGCGTTTGAAGTTGCCCACTGAATGCATTTTTTTGGAAAGCCTGTTTAGTACTTCAGATAGTTTGTTGCATGTAGTTTCATGTTTAAGATATCAGTATCCACCATTTCAATATTAATTTTCTGTTTGCATTTTCCATTTGTCTTTGCAGGCAGCACCCTGTCAAAAGGTACGGGGTTATAGAGTGTGATCCTGTAATTTATTCTGGACTTGATAGAAGTGTAAGTTACTGATGTAACTTTTCCTATTTAAATATCTCAGCTGTTCATGTATCACGTAGAGCCTCAATCTATGAATTAATTTTCTGTATTTTTCAAGACCTAACTGTTTCAATAAGGAGTAGTTCAAATGATATCTATAAGGTGCAATGATGTTTAAATTTCCATGAGTTTAGAGCCACAATTGTTTACAACTACAGACAAGAGATATCACTCTGTGCAGTGATTCAGATTGTTTAAGCTAAAGAGGTTCAGATTCATGAGGGATATATAAATATAGAAAATCTGAATTTTGTGATTTTGTCAAAGTAATTTAATTATTGCCATTTATTCACGTAAGTTTGAGATGTTGGTGGTTACATCAAATGCACTTCTCGGCAGAACAGCTTTATCTATAATGCCTATCTCGTGCGGTAGAAATTCTTTATCATTTTTATTTTGATGAAGGTGGTGGTGCTCTCTATCTTTTAGATGAAAATTCACTGTTTTCTTAAATATCTGAATGTATTTTTGTTCTCTTGATTCTGGTAGGGTAAGTGTTTGGTTGATTCATGTTACGTTTCATGCTGGGCTAACAGTGTTCCTTGTTAAACAAAGGGAATGGAAACAGTTTCTGATAACTGAAAGTTGTACTGAGAATTTTTTTCAAAAAATAGTAATGGTGATCGTTCTTATTTGGAAGACCCGGAAAACCTCTTTTGACATTTGATAAATCAATCTTTAAGATGATTTGTTTATAGCTTTCATTGAGATTTGAGCTTGTTAATGTTGTTCAAAGGACATTCTGCATGAGACTTGTGGGATTGGGGATATATGAGAGGTGGTTTGCTGCTTAGTTTGATATTAGCGTAGTACTGGAGATTGTTGCAATGTCTCTTATGCAGCTGTGCTGATTGTTCCTTGTTGCATGAGGCTGTTTTCCTAATTGTCTGCTTTGTTACATTATTAGTTAGTTTAAGGTTTATCTTACAGCATAAGCTGTTCCCTTGTAGTTTTCATGTATGATTCTTTACTTGGAGACTTTTCATTCTGTACCATTTTTCGCTATAACAAACTGTATTTACAAATGATGCGCTATACTTTCTTTATATGCAGGCTAAACACATTATGGTTCAGTATGTGCCAATGCTGGTACCACCCAAGAAGTGGAGAGGGTATGAGAATGAAAATTTAATCTCTTGCTGCTTTAAGCTTTATGTCACGAGCTGTAATTAAAAGGGTTTGTTGAATTCTGTAAAATTCAGTCCTTCATTAAAAATTAATCTGGTAGTTAAATTCCAGTCGACCGTAAAGCTATTTGTGACACCAAATGAACTTGTAGAATCAAATACTGCTTTCAGGATGGCATTGCCTTGAATATTTAGTATTATAAGCTGTTCATCCTTTCAGGTATGACAAAGGTGGTTATTTGTTCCTACCTTCCTTCTTGATGCGAACTCATGGGTCTAGACAACAGCAAAATGCAATAAAACGTGCTCCAATGAAACAAATGCAGAGAGTTTTCGAGGTGACATGTTGATGCATATATTTCTTTGCTTAGAACTGGTTGGAGAATGCTATCAGTAACTTTCTGTCTCCATTTTACCTTTGATATTATCTTAGAGAATTTATTACTAAAAGTATTTATACTTTCTGGTTGCCTGACATTTGCCAATATTTAGGAGATTTGTAAACAATGCAGGAGCTTATTTTGTTTATGCACTTTCACAGGCCTTGGATACTTTGGGAAACACCAAATGGCGAGTGAATAGACGGATACTTAACATTGTAGAGACTATTTGGGGAGGAGGAGGCAATGTTGCTGGCCTCGTAAATAGGAAAGATGTGAGTGTATTCTTAAGAACTCCATCAAGTGCATAGAGTAATTTGTAATTTCAAGAACTTTGGTCAATCTATTGGCATAATATTTTCGGCGAATGTTGGGCAGAATTTCTTTGGCCCATATTGAGTCTTCAGCTATTCAACAATCCCTGTCGATGGCAACTTTGTAGGAACGACTGATGCTTAATATTGAGCTTATATTTGATTAGTATAAAAGTGGGGGTTATATGGAAGGGAGTCACCTGGAATAGGTTCTTTAGGGGACGCCATAACATATATGTCAACGATGTGTATTGTGCTATACATGTCTTTGGCAATATGTTAATTAAATAGAAGTGTATCAGTTGTCTTTAGTCCAAAATATTTGTTAAGATACAGATTGAAGTGTTCTTATCACATCTAAGGTATTCACAGTTCACTTACCCAAGTCCTACAGGACTTTGGAGGTCAATTTGTGCAAGGGTCATTGAACTGGATGCATAAATGAAAAGTTAAACTAAGGCATACTTGTAAATTAGAATTCAAACAATTTGCTCTTTTTTGTCATTTACTATCTATTGCTCTTAGTTAATGATTTGTTTCTCTGTGTCCTATTGCTGTTGACTAGGTTCCTATACCTGAACTGCTCTCTGATAATGAGGAGGAAATAAAAAAATGGAAATGGAAAGCCAGAAAAGCTAGGAAAATCAACCAAGAGTTGCATTCATTGCGTTGTGACACTGAGCTGAAGCTCTCTGTAAGATCTATTTCCTTTGATAAATTTTAATATTTATGAGTTTATACCAGAGAAAATTGATATCATTATTACTGAAACTATCGCATTGAAATTAAAAAGAAATCATTCTCTTTGGTCTTTTGCAAGAGCTTTAAAAGGTTGAATCATGTAAAAGGTGCATGTCAAATTATAGGCTTCTGAACAGAATACCCAAATGAGCTGACTTTTGGAGCCAGTTCTAATTAACCTTCAAAACTAGATTATTATGTTGTAGTGTTTTTAAAATCAAGTTATTATGAGGTAGATTGTGAATGGATCTTTTTCAGAGCAGGTGGCTCGTAACATGAAAGATGAGGAAGGATTCTACTATCCCCACAATCTGGATTTTCGTGGAAGAGCTTATCCTATGCATCCACATTTAAATCACCTCAGTTCTGATCTTTGTCGAGGTCTCCTAGAGTTTGCTGAAGGACGGCCCCTAGGGAAGTCCGGACTATATTGGCTGAAAGTACATTTAGCTAATCTCTTTGGTGGCAGTGTTAAGAAGCTTTCCCATGATCAACGGCTGGCTTTTGTGGAAAATCACCTCAATGAAGTGTTGGATTCAGCGGATAATCCTCTTAATGGAAATCAGTGGTGGTTGAAGGCTGAGGATCCTTTTCAGTGCTTGGCAGCTTGTATTAATTTATCGGAAGCTCTAAAGAGCTCATCACCGTATACTGTTATCTCCCATCTACCAATCCACCAGGTATAGTTATCTTGTTTCCTGAATCTAATAAGCAGAATGTGGAAGTCTTTTGTTTCTTAAGTGTTTCAAGTTTATCTTTATGGTAAAATGTAGTAAAACTTGCAGTGCTCTTTTGATATGATGATGTAAACGTGAATTTCTCATTATGACATTCTCCTTTAGATTCAAGAGGTGACTGAAGTGGAAATAATTTTGATCCGTTTTGTCTTCAAACAAAAAACAACTTACCCTGTATATTCCCAACTTTTTTGCAAACTGCATAATTAACAAAATATGATTTGCCCTTTTTTTTTTTATGATTTGCTACCAACTAAACATGATTTCCGCACATTATGAGCTGTTATATATAGGACTCCCTTGTTGAATCTGTATCACTTTCCTGTCGTTGTAATTCTGTCAAACTAGAGGAAAGGAAAAGGACTTTAGATATGTGTGTTGGCAAGGTAGTGAATTTTAACCTGGCAATATGCATTTTGATGCCTCAACTTGTCAATGAAGGAAATATGCCCACAAGGTTCTGTAGATTAAGTTCAAACTAGCATTGACCCTATCCTTTCTACAAACCGTATTTATGTTCATAACATGCATACATATATGGCTAGCCAAAAATAAAACTAAAACTCACATGCCATAGGAAGACTCAAGTACTCAAATTTCGTCAGACCACTTTCCACAAACCAGACACGTGTCACAATATCGAAGTATAACATCTACTTTGTTATCACAATGAATGTATGGTCGCTCTAGTTAGAGTAGATTGTCTAGAATAATAAAATTTGAACACAGGAGGAACATTTTGTAATGCAAAAATGCTAAGAAATTGGAGATGAAATGCAATCCAGTACCCAAGGCTTTGTATATCAAAGTAGTTATGAGAAACTGTTTGAAGGGAAGCTAATGAGGGATGTCGGCGTTTTCCCAGCTTAGCTTTGTATAACATGTGGTGCATGACGTAAATTTTCTTTGTTCTCCTGAGTCACTTCTGAAGGGATCCCTTGCTCATCTCATATCTGTCATGCCGGCTGCTTTTGCACCTTTATTCCTGAACATTGCCTTTTTTTAAAATGAAAGAATTTATCGATGCTTTTTATAATATTTTTGTATTTCCCCCTTTTGTGATATACTTGATCAGTTGTTCTATAATTTATCCTTTTATATTGTTGCAGGATGGCTCATGCAACGGTTTACAGCACTATGCGGCTCTTGGGAAAGATAGTGTATGCTTTCCTTCATGACACTTATATATTAACACCTTTAAGATGGCTGTTTTATTTGACCGAATTGAAAGATTTTGGTTTTATCCTTTAATCTTTGGGATTGACCTGTGTCTGAGATACTTGAATCTTTTTACCCGGTGTCACTGTTTGGATCTTGAATTATGTAATTGTATAGCTTTGTGCATACTTATAATATTTAATCTGTAAAGTAGTTTTATTGTTTCGCGATCAGATAATTGCTACCTTGGATACCCTACAGTTTTCTATGCTTGAATGACTTGGTTTCAGTTGGATAGACCAGTAAAAGTTCTCAGCCACTTTTCTTAATGTCATGCTCAGTCGTTTATTTTTAGCCTTTGTGGTAAAGCGAGATTTAGTATCTTGGTGATCCTTATCCATCGATCTTCTTGATTGTGTAGCACATAATACTTTTCGTGTTGAATGTTGTTTCCGTTTCCCTTTTCTCCATTTGCTGAAGTCAGTCTGCCTGTGTGCAGATGGAAGCTGCTGCTGTCAATTTGATTGCTGGAGATAAACCTGCTGATGTTTACTCAGAAATAGCCACAAGGTAATTGAAGTGATAGAAGGAAAATCCATAATATATCATTGTAATCTACTTTGGGTTCTGCTTATATACTGCACTGTTAATGGCATTGGTCAAAGTAGTTAGCAATGTGTCTCGCTTCTTAGACATCGTGCATTAAGGGTTACCCTAACCTATGACTTAATAATACCATGCACGACAGTTATGATGTATTTGGCGCATACTCAAATTTGCCGAGGATGAGGTTGATAGGCTACATGTGAATTACCATGGAGCATATTGTGACGCATTTTAAATTTTCCATTTTTCTTGAGTTAAAATGATCTTCACGTTTGGAATTGATATAGATTTCTGGCATTTCTTGTTTTTCTTATTTTGGTTTTCGTCTTTCTCATTGTAAATATGTAAATGTGCTTTTCAGTTTTGTGTCCATTTTTTTAACATTCTTCCTTTTGGCTTTTGCTGCTTCTTGGAGACTGTAATTGTTTTGCATTATAACTCTTTGAAACTGCTTTGCTGGTCAGGGTTCGTGATATTATACGACTAGACAGTGAAAAGGACCCTGCTACAGATCCCAATGCTATAGTCGCCAAGCTTTTACTTGATCAGGTTGAATATCCTTCCAGATCTTTCTTTTGAATTTTGACCCCTGCACAATGCTTTGTTGCAGTAATTGTAACTAATTTTTTAGCTTGATCAGGTTGAGTTCTCTTTCAGATTTCTGCTTTCTTTTTTCCCTTTTTGTTTCTCTGGGTAGTGCTGTGTCAGTAACATTTATTCTTCTGTCATGCCTGAGGTGCTAGAATAATACCCCATCAGGTGTTTTCTTACCGCTTGTCAATGCCCAATTTGCAGGTTGACAGGAAATTGGTGAAGCAGACTGTCATGACTTCTGTATACGGTGTCACTTATGTTGGAGCACGCGAACAAATCAAAAGAAGGTTAGAGGAAAAGGGTCTGATTGCTGATGATAGGTTGCTCTTCAGTGCTGCATGCTATGGTGCCAAAGTAAGCCTCTGCAATACACTTTTTATTTTTTGGGAAGATCCCCACCCAACCCATCCCTATTGAGAATTGATTCTTAGATCTGTGAAAAATCTATGGAGACCCATTTACCCTGCCTTTATTTATAATATACGCAGCAATACAGTCTGTTGTTAAGAAAGTTCTGCCTAAATGGAAAGGAAACTGATTTGTCCTTGAGCTTTACATGGATGCGAAATTCACTACTGGATAATAGATTTCTGGGTCATTGTGCAGGATTTAAACAATAATCTTGTCTTTTGAGAATTAATCAGCAGATCTGCTGAGTGTGTCAACATAACATTATTGTTTCTACTTCAACATAAAAGCTGGGCATGATTTGACTGCACTTTTATGTTAGAGAACTTTAACATAAGAGAGAAAATGAAATTAATCATATAAATTAAACAATCACAATTTCAAGTTTTAGATTCTGCTAATTCCATCTGAGGACATTAGGCTTGTTGTTCGCATATATCAGGTTTGGAATAATAAGAAGTAGCTCGAGTTAAAAACTAAAATTGAACCTCCTCTACAGGTGACAATGGCTGCTCTTGGAGAATTGTTTGAAGCAGCACGTGGTATAATGGTTTGGCTGGGTGATTGTGCTAAGGTTTGGGAGTTTACATCTCTAACATCACAGAATTCCTTTCCAAGTATGCTAGCTAACAAATCCTCTTACTTCATAGGTGATTGCTTCTGAAAACCAGCCTGTGCGGTGGACCACGCCTCTGGGCCTCCCCATTGTGCAACCTTACTTTAAATCTCAAAGGCACATTGTAAGTGTCATATCAGTTTAGTTTGTATACAAATTCAAGAAAAAACATGCACTATCTTTAGTTTTTAGAGTGAAATGGCATGCTTCAGACATGTGGAATTGAGTTTTTGTGGTCTAGTTGGAATAAAGGTAGCCATGTTTGGATTTCATCTGAGCATTAGTTTGGTAAACGTGATCGCATTTCATCGATGATGATAAATTATGTTTTCAATTGATTGAAAGATCTTTCATTCCTATCTATAAGTAAGGTTTCACGATATAAAAGTTTGGTTTTGAGTAGTTGTGTTTGAACACTTTAACTTGCTGTGGAGAAAAACAGCTAGCTTTTATCCCACCATGTGGGGTCGGGCTAACTTGTAACATTCTCCCTGCCTTTTTCATTAGATTTGCTTAAAAACATTATGCACTCTTAGATGCAGCACTAATTTGCTCTTTCTTAAAAAAAAGTCTTCAGGGTACTGCCCATTTTCATCTTGTTTACATGTTTCTAACCTAGTCCATTGATAATATAGTTAATTATACCTTTGTTGGTTTACAGATAAAAACATCACTTCAGGTTTTGGCACTGCAGCGTGAAGGTGATTCGGTATGAGTTCGTTCTCCATATAAATTGGATTTATTGTTGCTGGCCTCTGATTTCTTTTCTTTTTAATGTATATGATAGTTTCAAAATCATATTGTATTTTAGGTTGAGGCTAGAAAACAACGTACTGCTTTCCCTCCAAATTTTGTGCACTCCTTAGACAGCACGCACATGATGATGACTGCTGTTGCCTGTAGAGATGCTGGCCTACAGTTTGCAGGTAGGTGCCTGTTAACAAGAAAACTCTGGCCTGTCTGGACTTATCTGCGTGGATGCATAAATTTATTATTCTTGGTTGTGCATCGATTTTTGTTCTATGCTTTCGTGTTCTATATCCTCAACGTTTGCAAGAATTCATATTTGTTATCTGATGAGCGAAAGTGACTGAGAGATCTTCTACGTTGGTGTTGACGGCACTTGTACTCAATTCAGAAGCTAAAATATTGATTCTTGGATTGTTTATTTTATAGGTGTACACGATTCATTCTGGACCCATGCATGCGATGTTGGCAAGATGAATCAAATACTCCGGGAAAAATTTGTGGAGCTTTACAGTATGCCAATACTTGAAAACGTAAGCATACCACTTGAACATTTTTTCTTCAAGCAATACTCTCTGTTCACTACATGGAATTAGCCTTGTTGATAACACTTGTATCTCTCCATTCAAAAGGTATTAACCTCTAAATTTAAAATAAACCTGAAATCTGGGGAATAGAATTGAGGATTTTCACAACTCCATGACATTTTCCGTCATATTTTTACAGCTTTTATATTTGTCTGTGATGATTTCTATTTCTTCTACTACCAAACTCAACATGTTAATCTTGTTGTCTTGGTAAACAGTTGCTTGAAAGCTTTCAAACGTCATATCCATCTTTGACATTTCCTGCTCTACCAAAAAGAGGCGACTTTGACTTGCGTGAAGTTCTGGAATCACCGTACTTCTTCAATTGATTGATTGGGAGAAACATTGGCCGTTCACATGGAGACAAATTACTGAGGCAACATGTGCTTCAGTAGAAGGTCAGAGCAATGTGCTCAGTCACTCCTTCAAAAAGTAGAAGGAACGAAGGGATCACAATACTCTGGCCAAATGCATCCTCAGCAGATTGTTATCTAACTTGCAAATGAAGTAAGATCCAACTGCTAGAATTAACATTGCCGTAGAGGAAAGTTAGCAACAAAAGGAACATGATGAGGGCTTATCAGCTGAATTTATCTTTGCTGAGGAAGGGATATTTCATTGTTCTATGCTGCTTCGATGAAAGCAAACTCTCCAAACTCTGATGATTTTCCTCATTGTCATCTCAAAGAATAGGGGGAGAAATTAAAGGCATTCCTGGAGTGCCTTGACGAACTCATTTGCTGATCAGTTCTTGGACCCAACGTTGGAAAGAGTGGACTTTTTCCACTCAGTTACAGCCTGATGTTTCGTCAAAGTAGTTAGAGCTCAGTTCTTGTGTCCAATGCCAGAAAGAGTGGGCTTTTTCCACTCAGTTCCAGACTGATGTTGATTCCTAGGCTGTGGATTGGAGATGATCAATCTAGAGCGCGTGGTGGAAGAACAATTCTTTGATGTAAATGCTTGTACAGATTTCACCAACTATACTTACTGACCAAAATTTTGTATTGTGTTGTGTTGTGTTGTGTTGTATGTAGAGAGAAAATAGAATATTGCCCTACCGGCAATTCGGCACTGACGAATGTATACAGTTAGAAGTTTTGCATTTATGAAAGTGATGTGGGAAAACCCTTTTTCTTTCTATCTTATTCATGTTCCATTTTTTTCCTCTGTTTCAAAGCTTAAGCAAGGAACAGATAGGAGGAACTAGCAATTTCATTACACATTCTCCCTAAAACTATTACTAGAATAAATAAAACTACAAATGGTACTCTAGCACAAATTCGGCACCATCGGCTCGATTATCCTCTATCAGCTTCTCTTGTTTCATCTGTTATTATTGCCATCCCTTCTTGTGTAGTTCATTATCGCGCCTCTTCATTCCTTGTTAAATTCTCAAATACAATGCACATTTGGAATCAAGTCTACAGCAAAATCACCAACTTGACGCTGAAATCTGTGAATGTCACCCTCTTTCAAATGTTTATGACGCGACGTCAATTTACTTTCTTCTGCAGTTCCCTTTTCTGACTTTGAAAAGGAATTCAATCGTTTTTTTCCACTAGATCACGCACTTTTTTAATCTTCTGGTTAATGAACTGAACAAACAATGTTGACAAGAAAGGACACGCCTTGATGCATAAACTCAAAGAAACACCACCAGACTCGCGCTTTTGTTATGAATCAAGCTGTTTCAGGGAGGGAAACGGTGCGATGATCATCAAAATTAATCTAATCATCGTCGTAGTACATACATCTTAGCTGGTAAAAGCAATAAATCATCTAAAGGGGGTCACTTTAAACATTGCAATCAGTAAACTGATTATTCAGAATTATCGTTACTAAAAAGCATCAACAATCTATGTCAAAACATAACTTTCATACATCATCATATTCAGTAGCTAATTCAATACGATAATGAAGAAAAGAGAACAAGGAGTCTAACTTATCAAACCCTAACTATGCAAGACGATATACACATAGGGCAAGAATCACTTCTTAGCAACCATTCACATAGGCAATCCCGATGGAACTCGTGTGAGCAATTCGTCCCAGCAACCCAACTACCGCATAACTTCCCTAAGCAAATTGCACAATTCTCCGCTGAACCGCAATCATCGCTGAATTTATACTTCAACTTTGGCTTAATTTTCAGTTTAATTCCAGGACAACGTTCAAGATAAGTAAGCAATTTTGTTTGGTGGACGCCCTCTGAAGACTAACCCACTTCCCAAACTCACAAAGGACATGAGTTTCACGATTCTTAATGTCATCATCATGATTCAAACTGCACTGATCTCAACTACTTTCACCACCACCGATCTCTTCCATAAGTAAGTGGAGATCGAAAGAAATAATGGGTTTTCGACCCTCACCCTGACCGGACAAGATCACCAGGGGAAGCTCTAAAGCCCTAGCTTTAGGTCCCCAAATTATAAGAGCCCCATTTTTTTTACATATTGTTTGTTTTCTTTTTCTAAAAATATCAATTAGTAATATATATCATAAACATCATCTTCTCATCATAAATAATGGTTACCAAAGTGTCCCAAATTATATTTTTCTAACTAATTTTATGTTAAAATATTTGTAAACTTTCAAATATATCTTCATTGATAGTTATTCGAATCTACACCTTTAGTAATATAATCTTAAAGTATCATTTCAATTTTGAATATTTAGTGGCAATGCACTAATATAAATGATATAATGTTAGTATATTTTGCTTGGTGGTGAGGTATCAAAATTTGTATTTATGGATAAATTTAATTGCTAAAAACATTTATGTAAATTCGATAACTTCGATTACTGAAGTGGCCCCAATTTTGAATCTTGCTTGAGCCCTCGTTAAACCTTGAGACGGCACTGAAGATCACAGGACCAAAGCTAAATTTACACCATAAGTCGTGAGCTACTAATGAGGCTAACTCGTCCAGATCGTGACAAGAACAAAGGCCAGTTAATGTTTCGAAGGCATTGAGCAACAAATGTTGTTTTATGCAATTTGGAGAATTTAGGTATTGTAGGTGAGACTTCGGGATCCAAAAACCTTTGGTTTCCTCGCCATAAAGCTCGCTCTTGTTCTTGGTTCGATAATAGTTGACGTTGAATACGAAAGCACCTGAGGCAATTATAATATAGGGATCCTAGTAAGGTGTACCTAGTGTGAGTCTCACGTGACCCAAAAATGGACATTTCTCAATATTTATAACAATCCCATTTAATTCCTTATTTTGTGCGATTTTGGGAATTTCAAATCCCACCATTTCCTCCTAATTTTTAGCCATTAACCATATCCATCTTCCACCCCATTTATCACAATCCGTCTCAAAAAAAAAAAACTAAAAAACTAAATTTTCTCTACAGTGATTTGGCCAGAAAACCTCTCGTCGGTTGGATTTTTTGGGACGGAATCAGATTGTGCATCAAATCCAGTGAAAATTGTGGAAATATACTCTGTTCAAGATACGATTTAAGGTAATACATGAACAAAATTCATCTACGCAGAAACCACCGATTGAGTATCCTGAACCGAACAGAAGCAGGTTCGGAAAGTGAAGATGAACGAAGGTAATACTAATCTTTTGGACTATTGATGCGTTTTTTGATGGGTTTTATAGTTTTACTGTATATGCATTCGATTATGCATATCTGTTCATCAAGTTTAAAGTTTTCTTCATATTCAACCATTGGTGTTTTTTTGTTTTTTGTTTAAGTTCTGTAGATGTAAGGTATATTCACTCGATTGACGATGTTTGTTCATCAATTTTAGAGTTTTGTTCTTCTATTGGATGTTGTTTTTCTGAGAAATTGGTAGATTTTTGTTGAAATTGTTAGATTCATCGTTTACCATAACTATGTAGTATTATTTTTTTGGTAAATTAGTAGATATTTGTATTATTAATCAGTTTGGTATAATTATTCATTGTTGAAATTGTCAGATTCATCGTTTACCATAACTATGTAGTATTGCTTTTTTGATAAATTACTAGATCTTTGTATTATTCATCAGTTTGGTATAATTATTCATTGTTGAAATTGTCGGATTCATGGTTTACTATAACTATGTAGTGTTGTTTTTCTTGGTAAATTACTAGATGTTTGTATTATTCATCAATTTGGTATAATTATTCATTGTTGAAATTGCTGGATTCATCGTTTATCACAACTATGTGTTATTTATTCGTTAAATTTGTTCATCAATTTGGTAATTGGTATTCATCATAATTTGTTGTAAAATTTGTTTTGGGATAATCATCCGTAAAGGGAATTCATTGGGTCAACAATTATTATTAATTTTCCGATTTCATAATCCCAGATTATTCATCATCTATATATATTTATTCATTAATTTATCGAACAGTCATTCATTAAGTTTGTGATACATCTGATACGTTGATATTAAGAAACACACTAAAAAATCATCACATCTGACAAGTTATTCATGGAATTTGTAAACATATTGTAGCATGAGCGAAGAATATCAGACAGAATCTGAAAGAAGCATGAGCGAAGAACAACAATCAGAAGCCGAAAGAAGCAGGATATCTGAATCTGCAAAAAGACCAAACCACAATAAGTGTAGACATTGATATAGAGGGTTATTCAGCAGTTTTTTAAACTAGTATTATTTTTTGGTAAATTAGTAGATCTTTGTATTATTCATCAGTTTGGTATAATTATTCATTGTTGAAATTGCCGTATTCATCAGTTTGGTATAATTATTCATTGTTGTATATCATCTACCTCATGAATTTTTTACTCCTTGTTTGCTACATGCAAATTTATTTCCAATATACAACACCAGATTTGGACATTTTCCAATCTTTGAACCTTTTTATTGAAAAAACAATGCGCTAGAATTATAAGCAGCAAAAGCCTCTTCCTCATAATTGAAACATCGTCCAATTATTCATCAATAAGAACTCTTTATTCATTAATTAATGTAAGATATTCATCATAAAAACGTAATAACATAATACACCATTGGTCAGAAAACAACAATGAAATTCCTGTTCATTATTAACCATATAATACGCATTACCTTATGCATGTATATTCATCAATAAAATGAATACATTCTACATCAATCATCTTTCAATAATTACATAACATTATTCATTGTCTAAACGTTGGTTATTCATTACTGGGAAAAAACACATTGATTCTCCATATTCATAAGTCTCAATGATTATCCATAGTCAATTTTACTAAAATAAAATCCATCGTTATAAAAAAATTATCTCATAAAATAAAATAATATAAAAGCTAACATGATAAGCAAAAAAAAAAAGGTTTAAAATTAAAAGTGCGTAAAAAAAAAAAAAGGATAAGATCAAGGAGTTAAATGCCAAAAAAAAAGGGGATAAAATTATGGGGATTAATTGCCAAAAAAATAGGGATAAATTTCAATGATTAAATGCGCATGTGAGAACTAAAAATCTGGACTAAAATAATCACTTTTTTCTCCTAAATTTATGATATATGCACTGCCTGAATACACCTTGCAAGGTGTACTTAGGATCTTGATATTATTTGCCTCCAAAGTCTTCCGGAATACTTGGTTTCCACTTGAACACTTTAATACTTACATTCCAGTCCCGAATCGTCGTCATCGTTGATCAGCCTCTGATAAAATATGTCCCAAAATAAAACACTGGCAAAAAATTATAGAGATACCAATCAATTTGACCAAGGCCCAGACGAGATTTATGACTCTAAAGAAAATATATTTATGACTCTATATCCCTTATATAGACACAAAATCTAGTAGAATAGGAAATTTTCCTTAACCCAAACAGATTAGGAAAATGTTTTATCTGCTAATCTGATTGTACATGAACAAAATCTTATTTTTTGTGGTAGTTTTATTGTGTTTCGGAATTTTTTTTTACCTTCCTTTTCCTCTTTGGCTTTTTGAAGACAGCTCCTCTTTATCAACTTTGAATTTGTGTGAGCGACAATCTCATTTTTCTTAATCCAATTGAAGATTTAAACATAATCTAAGATTTATAATCTTTTTATTTTAAAATAGTCCTATCTACAGCGAACAAGAAAAATAATTCCCATACGAAAGGTGAGGCATCGTCGTTATTTTAAAGTTTTAATTTGAACCAAGGAATCCCTCAGTCTCCGGGGCCAATTACGTTATTGATGTACTCCCTCGATCCCAATAAAATAGTCTTGTACTCTCTCCGTCCTAGAAAAATAGTCCAGTTTGGAAATGTACAACTTTTTTAATTTGGTCAACACACCAAAAGTACAACTTATTTATGCTCCTACCTTCCATTAATGCCCATTATAGTTATTTCTATAAAAGTTAACTACATATGCATTTATTTTACAACTTAAATTTGATCAAAATTTTAATCTAAAAAAATATTGACAATGAATTTTGATGGAAAGATCTCGTTACGTAGATTAATTTGATATATAACATATTTTTTTAATGTATTAAAAGATATAATCATTTGAAAAAATAGGAGAAAACTAAACAAAATGAAAATAAAAGGAAGTGAACCTTGTTTTCCTTACCACTACTCTTTTGGATATTTAAGGCATTTCAATTCAATTAATTTTGACTTTTGTGAAACTGGACATTTTTTTGGGACAAACTTTTTTATTAAATTGGATTATTTTTGTGAGACGGGGGGAGTATTATTTTTAACACAATTTGAAAACTCCATGTGAACTATTTATTTATTTATTTTTTATTTTTTATTTTTTGGGACGAATGCAGTATAGTTTAGAAGAGCACAAGAGTAGTTAAATATGAAGAAAACTTATTCAAGCCTTATTTTGCTCTACTTGCGCAGGAGATTAAACCAGGGCAGGAAATACCCTTCGAGATCTAGTAAATAATAATTAAGCTGAACCTTTTATTCAAAAGTTTAACGGTTTCACATGTCTTTTTCACTTTTATAATGTTGGATTTACTCTCGTAGACACATACTGTAACTCTCAGCAATCTTTCTCATAATGGACAACATTCACAAGGGCTTCCGAGTTACTACCTCAGATATTCAACTTTTGGGAATTCTTTCTTCTCATTGAAGCAAACAATTATTCATTCATATTCAAATTTCATAATCCCCATAAGTATATACCTCCCTCTAACATTTTTCTTGGGTAGTTAAATAGAAATCCGTGCAAAACCCTTCTTTCATTTCTTTCCTCCAGAACCATCTTCCAAAACCTATGTTCTCAATAAATTTATATTTGAACGTATATTGTCCCAGAAAATATATCTTTATTATAATCAAAGGGTTAATTAAGTTGAGGATTCATGTCAATCCCCTCAATTTTCCTTTTGAGCTTAAGGTTCTATATTAACACTATGAAAGAACACGCATTAACAACGTAAGAAATTATAGACGAATCATTAATCTTTTCATAGCCGAAAATAAAAACAACACTAACAACAAACAAATCCAGTATATAAAACTACAAACTAAATTTATCTGTCTATTGTCTAGCATAAGTGGCAAGCTTATTAAACCAATGTCACGCAAGATGATCTACACAGAGGGCAAGAACCAGTACTTATTAGCAACCATTCACAAATGCATCCCCGATGAAACTTGTGCGAGCAACAATCCATCTGAGCAACCCAACAGCTCGTACCTTCGCATAACTTCTCTGAGCAAATCGCACAATCCTCCGGCGAATCGCTATCCTTGCTGAATACATAATTGAACATTGCCTTACATTCCTTTTTAATCCCGGGCAGAAGTCTCAACTTATCTAGCAATTTGTTCTTGGTGAAAGTTCTCCTATGGCTAACCAACTTCCGGAAGTGATCACAAATACGTTCACGAATCATGATGTCGTCGTTACAACTTCCATTGTCTGAACTGACCTCACCAACATTTTCTACAAGTAAGTGGAGATCCAAACAAATGATTGGTTTATCAGGATCCTGACACGACACGATTTCAGGACTAAAACGAAATTTAGTACACAAGTCTTCCGCTACAACGGTTGTTAACATGTCAAGATTGTGACAAGAACGAAGGCCATGTAAATCTTCTAGGGCGTAACGAACTAAATATTGTTTTGTAGTGTGAAGATTATCCAAGTGTTGGTGATGACACTTGTGTAGCAAATGAATTAGGGTTTCCTCACCACACAGCTCGTTGTTTGGGGTTTGGTAGTAATTAACGTTGATCATAAGCAAACCACTTGAGGAAACTGAAAGTTCTTCTTCTTCCGGTTTCAAAAACATGGGGTCCCACTTGAACACTTCAACATTCACATTCAAGTTCCTGATCATCATCTTCATCTAGGCTACGACGAATTATATATGTAAAGTTGTTGACCAAATTAGATGTCGATATTGTGCTTTTTTTTTTTCAGTGAACAATAGCAGAGAGAAAAGTTAATTGCAAGTCTTAATATTCTTTATCTTTTAAAATTCCCTGAGTAGGTATTTATAGTTATGCAAAAATATAATTCTAGACTAATCCTAATGTGAATTGGTCTAGGGAATACTTTTTTTTTGTGTTCCTTTTCCTTGTTGTCTTTGAACGCCCAGCCCCCGTATCAAGGAAGATGTGAGAAAACGAATTCCAATTGTATTTCCGATGAACGACTTCTCTTTTTTCTTCAACTCGTTTTTTAATTATTTTTTTAAGGCCAAAGCAATTTTTGTCACGTGGACTTTTTGCTTTCCCGATATACAATGATAGATCCGGATTTTATTCAATTGATGTTGATTTCAGTTGTATTTGGATCCCAGATTCATGTTACTAACTGTTATACGCTCTCGTATGAAGAACTCCGCTAGAAGAACCAGTCAATTAGGTTCTCCTTTATTATTCATATAAAAAGAAGCAGGTTTGCAATATTCTTGCTTGTCAGTTAAATGATTGATCTTCGACTTTGAAGGCAATCAACACTAATTCTATTTGGAATGCAACTATCAGTGGAGATCTAAGTTGGTATTGGAATAAAATCGTGGCTGCTAATAAAGATAATGCAATGGCTGGATTCCAACAAGGCAAATCGTGGCTTCTGAAAGCTTCTTTTTATAGTTGCCGCTTGGGACTCAACATGACAATTTGCTTAATTGGCTTGTAAAAGTTTATTTTTGTTCAAATATCAAAGTTTTATTGTTATATTATCATTGCTAAACTTTGTCAAATTTATGCATTCTTTGAATGGGATTTGAAGGTAGTTTCAGTAGTGTTAATTCCATGAAACAAGGTTAATGCATAAAGGCAAATGCTAGCTTCCAATGCAACTCCAAATGAGATGAAGAACTATGCTTTAAACAAAACACATGTTTAGGTGACATTGTTAAACAAAGAGCAAATTACTATTGCCTCTAAATCCCATGCATCAAGCTACCAGCTGCAAAACCATATTTCCTCGTTTTTGAAGACAACATCTTGAGCAAATCAACCAAACTCCTATGTTTTCAGGAAGAGTCATCAATTAGCCAAAAGTTAAGTTTAGAAAAGTTCGGAGTAATCATTGATTACTTGAACAAACAGAATTTGATGACGAAATAGAGAGTGACCGAAAATTGTAAACGAAAAATCAGAGAGTTGTGAATCACCACATACAATGCCGTACAAAATTGTCAAAAAATGGCACACCAGCAAGAATGTATCAACCCTAATGGAAGGAAGACCATCAAAAACAGAACTAAAAAATAAAACTTTTATAGGAATTGTGAGATGATAATCATATTGACCCACACACAGAACACACAGAATTATGTAAAAAAAAAAAAACTAAACTAAAATTCACGATAGTGTAGAATATCGACTTAATTAAATAAAGGAAAATCTCTCAGTATATGTTTAAAATGGGGGGGAAAAATCACTAAAGCTTTACGATGATGCAGTCCAACTTCTATGCCTTTCTTCTCCTCTTTTTCTTGCAAAATTTAAATAAGGTATCAAAATTCCCAAATTACTTCCACAGAAGATTAGCAACCCTATCAAACAACGAAACCAGCGTTTTGAAGTTGTCCAACTTGGATTTTAGCTTTTCAGCCTCCAAATCGGATTTCAATCTTTCAGCTTTCAACTCTTCAGCCTCCAACTTGGCTTTCAATTTTTCTGCCACCAACTCAGCCTCCAATTCGCCCCATAATTTTTCCGAATGAGCCACGAGCCCCATAATCTCACCTTGCATCCAAGATGACCTGCGTTCGAGTTGCTGCTTTTCACCTTCCATTTGGCTTATTTGAATGCTTAGTTTCTCCAAATGGGCCTTCAGAATCTTAATCGTATCTTGCAACAAAGATAAACGATGTTCGACTTCCTGCTGGTCAGCTTTGATATGGTTTATTTGAATACATGCTTCCAGGATCTTGTTTATATCTTCCATATGGTTTGGAGGCACGCCTTCGGATACCCATTGCTTCACTTTATGCTCCACCAAAAATTCAGGATCAGTCTCCACTGTTTCCTTATCCTCTGGAGGCACCCCTTCGCACTCCACTGGGGTTTTTGGAGCCTCTATTATGGCTTTGATTACAGATTCATTTTCCTCCGAAGTTAGGGTTTGAGTTTCCAAATTCTCCACTTTGTCCTCCACTCGGGTTTCAGGAGTGTCTCTTATGGCTTCGATTATAGTTTCGGTATCCTCCGGAGAAACGCCTTCGGTTTCCCAACTCTTTACTTTCTCCTCCACTCCCTCAGGACTGTCGCTTTTGGCTTTGATCATGGTTTCGTTATCCACTGGACTCCCATGAGGCGATTCTTCCTGGCCCTTACTGAGTGCTTCTTCTACAAGGTTTCAAAGGCGTTCTTGCTGGATTTGACAATGTGAGTCATGGATCCGATCTTGATTCCGGTGGGAACCTTTCCTATGGCGGCTTGGGAGAAGTTAAGGCCGGATTTGGGAGCTTGGGAAAAGTTCAGTGTGGATTTGGGAGCTGACCTAACCAGCCCGCAACATGGGGGACAAACGTAAGCGACCGCCGTAGCCATGACTTCTTAGATGCAATAAGGGTTCCGTCGACGGTGTTTTGCTGTGAGAAGAGATGACAAGTAGTAAAGAGGGATGAAAGTCGCTCCCCAAGGGTTTAGGGTTTATAGTGGACATATATGTACGTATATAAATATAGGGAACTAACCCTTTGCCATTGATTATTGCACACGGAGTGTTGTTTTTTTTAAAATAATTTTATTATTAGTTTTAACATTATTAAAGTTTTTATTGTACTGTAACTCGAGAACCATATACTACATATTATATTTTTCCTTCAAAAATAGTAATAATTTATTGAACTCCGAAATTTATTGAACTTTTTTATCGAAAAATTTCCCCTTCATGTCCGTAACACTTTGAGATTATTAGTTTTTTTTTTACGGTTTTCTCATATCTATTGGGAAAAAAATTTGGTTCTTGAAGGGTAATTACTAAAAAAAAAGTTTCACTATGAAATTACTAAAATATTTAGAATATTTTAATTTTTTTGTAATTACTAAAAGTTACTGAGCTACGAACTCGCGTTAGCAAAGAGGTTAACTTTGAAAACATTGTCGGCACTACCGCAAGAATTAGCCGTCAAGAGACAAAGAACCCTAATCCTTATAGTGGTAGGCTTTTTTATTATGTATATATATATATATATATATATATATATATACCTCCTCAATCGCGTACTTTGACGATATATAGCTTTTCTTCTTGTTATTATTCTTGTATTATTTTCTCTAAATTGCACTCCACAGCCGTAATTTGATTCTCTGTCTTTTATCATCCTACTACCAAAACCCTAGGTTGTATACCTTAAGGATACAACATCTTCTTCTTTTTCTTGACATAATTCAGTCAAGCAATATATACAGTCAACTGTTCGTGATTATCTTTGGTAAGTGTTGTTAGATTATTCTCTTGATAATCTAATTCGAAGTAGATCAACCTTTTTTTCCATATTTTTTGTCAGAGCTTTATGATGAGGATCAGGGACTTGAATGTGGATCTTGAGGTATTCAAGTGGGATCCTAAGTTAGTTAAGCCGGTGGAGGAATCAGATAGCATCTTAGGCGGTTTGTTTATGTTCAAAGTTAATTGTTACTGAAGCACCGGCGGTAGCGAGCTTTGCGATGAAAATAACCTAGTTTTGTTGCTATCTAAGTTCCATCTACCACGGTTAAACTCTCCTAACACCACAGCATGTTTAGTTCTTCACGCTCTAAAACAGTTGCATGTTTTTTGTCCTTGTAAGAACCTTAACAAGTTAGCCCTGGCAGCCGAAGACTTGTGTTGGAAGTTTCGTTTCAGTCCCAAAATCGAGTCCCCTAATCAGTGTCATAAGCCTCTTATTTGTTTCAGTTTCGATGTTCTTCTTGGAGAAGAATCCGTACCCTCAAATACTAAGCCTTCGGAGTCATCTGAATCGTCCAATGATCATGATATGATTGATGATGATGATGCTAATGAGGTCAGTTTTCGGATAAGTTAGTTAACCTAGGAGGTTTTCATCCGAGGAAGAATTCCTTGCTAACTTGAAACTTCGTACGGGGATAATAGTGGAAGGAGGATTGGCCACAGCTGATGTTGAGCCAAAGTTGAATTATGTGCTTAGCGATGATAAGGATTCACTTGAGGATTGCTCAATTTGCTTTGATAAGTTATGTGAGGATAGCGGTTACCCGATTGTTCAGACTGATTGCTCTCACAAGTTTCATAAGGATTGCATGTACAAGTGGTTGCAGAGATCTGATTCTTGCCCTTTGTGTAGATCATCTTGCATTGTTTGGGTTTGATAAGTGCTTTCTGAGTTTGAATCATGGAACCGTGTCCATCTTGCATTGTCGATTCCCATGGTTACATATGGAAACCTGCGCTTCAACGGTAAGAAAGGAGCCATGTGCTTTCGGCAATTAATAGAATGAAACTTCCGGAGGGCATGGATGTGGAAACAGGAAACATATTCGGAAGTATCGTACTTGGGTTTTGCTTGAATCAATGTGGAAGCATCATTCTTTGGATTACCGTGATCGATGCAAGTTCCTCATGTGCAGCTATACAGACGATGCTTATTATGAGACGGGGAGAGGATGTCTTTGCATATCATTGGAATCATATGGCGGTTTCGATGCAATCAGATGCGGAAGTATCATTCTTTATATTGCTCTCACAGTTCTCATATGCAACCATGGGGTGGGTTGGGTTGGTTGGGGACCCGGGGATGCGCTTTAATTTGTTTAATATGATGCATCATGATAAGGATTAACATTTAATAATTAAAATGATGTAACTACATTAGGATAGCTGACTAGGCGTTCATAAATCACACCATGATTATAGTTTAACTTC